TCAAACAGCACTAGGGTTGATAATGCATTCAGTAGGGAAGGGTCCCACAAACCGAGGAGCCAACTTTTTTGACCGTTAAGGGAAGGTCCTTGGCATGAAGCCAGACTCTCTGACCAACAGCATACACAGGAGCAGGGGAGCGGTGACGGTTTGCTTGTTGTTCCATTTTCAGTGAGGATTTAAGCAGAGCCGCTCCAGCACGCCTCCAGGTCCTTTCACACCTTGTGACTGTAGGGAAGGGATGGCGGTCTCTCATTCCTGTAATGGAAAAAGAGGCGGTTGATACCCCAACGAGCACTGGAATGGAGACAGACTTGAAGAGGCGTTGGACAGGGAGCTGTGGGCGTATTCCACCCATGGAAGGAGGCTACACCAGGCAGACAGGTTCCCCAAAGTCATGCAACGAAGGAACGTCTCCAGAGATTGATTGGCACGTTCAGTTTGCCCATTAAGACTAAGGGTGAAAGCCTGAGGTTAAGCTCACAGTAGCTCCAAGAGCAGCACAAAAAGCCTTCCACACCTCGAAAGTGAATTGGGGACCACGGTCAGAGACGATGCCGGACGGGATGCTGTGACTCCGGAACACGTGGTTCACCAGTAATTCTGCCGTCTCCCAGGCAGAAGGCAGTTTGGGCAGGGGCACGAAGTGGGCGGCCTTAGAGAACTGGTCAACGATGGTCAAGATGGCTGGATGCCCAAGGGATGGCGGCAATCCGGTGACGAAGTCTACAGCGATGTGGGACCAAGGACGGTACGGGACTGGCAGTGGCTGCAGGAGGCCGGCACACAACTGATGAGAGGTCTTATTAGTGGCACAGGTGGGGCAGAAGTCGAGGGCATGACACAGTGTTTCCATATCAAGAATTTACAAAAACATGCTTATGTCAAAGTGAGAGCAGTCACCGCCTTCATGCTGTATTTAGTAGATGTACCTTTGGCTGCAATTCAGTTCAGTTCAATTTTGTTTGTATAGTGCAGTTTACAACATATGTCATCACACAGTGCTTAACATAGTGAAGCATAGACCTCACACATTTAAACAGAGAACCTAACAATCCAAAATAGAGTTTAGACTCCCTCTGAGCAAGCGGTTGGCAACGGTGGAAAGGAACCAAAACAACACCAACACAACCTCAGCAACAATAGTAACAACAACAATAGTAATAATAATAACAACAACAACAACAATGGATACAGTAACAAATTGCCAAAGTGCCTAAATATTGCACACAGTCTGGTGAGCATGATGCTCTGTCTCACCCCAATATCCTCACTCCTCACCCCTCGCTCCCCACCTCTTGCTGCTCCTCCCCCTCCCCCCGAGCTCAGAGTTGAACAGTTTGATGGCTCGGGGGACAAAGGAGTTTAATTTCATTTAATTAATTAGAATTACAAATGTAATTATTTTAAATTACAAACCCAAGTACAAGAACACCAAGAGGCCTGGTTGCTTTCAGCTCAGATTTCCTCAACGTTGGAGTCAAAGAATGCTTCAGTCTGACAGCTTCACTTTAACCATACCAGGACTCTTACTACTTATTACTCTGAACAACTCTGCTTTCATTTTTCCTCTCTTTTGTCAAATTTCTACGAATAACCTTTTTTTTTTTTCCTTTTGTTGTCAGAGTATGTTGAGGATAAGATGTACGTCTTTCCATCACTGCTCTTACAGATGCTATTACTGACCGTGGTGCATTTTATTGCTTTAACTTGACAACTATGGTATAAAAGGATTTTAAATTTTTTTATTTTTCCAGTTTCATAGTTTTTGCACTGTAATATAAAATTCTATTTCATGGTAATGTCACAAACACATTTTAGTTCTTGTATAATCTGTCAGGTCAAAGGTTATTGGGCCAAGTTCCTCAGGAAGATGACTTTAGGGGTTTAACAACCTGCAGTTTTGAGCTCTCAGAAAACATTAAATCCATTGCTGCTTTACGCAAACATGGGGTTCCATCTATGCAGAGCTGAAAGGTTTGTGTCTGTGTGACTTTGTCTGCTTCCAGCCGCCCTGCCACAACAGATGGAAAGACAAAGACGGCTGTTGCCGGCAATTACAGGACCCTAATGACATGTAACCTAAGACGCCGTCATTGTCTTTCCTTCTGCTTTTCAATTACACAGTACTCCATCTGGTTTGGGGGCAATTTACTGAATCAGAAATTCCCACTGCTCAGGGGATGTTATTAGGTCCAAGTTTAGGGTGTCGGTGGGTGAAACGACTGGAGCAGCTGTTCTGCAGCACGGCAAACACAACAGTTACTGATGGAGGCGATGTGGCGATTTTATACAGCAGACAGTCTTATATGCATATAATCAGCTTTTCAGAGGAATCCTACAGAATACGCCGACAAACCAGCAAATAAATGAATGTGCTGTTTAAACTTTTATTTATTTATTTTTTATTTTGCTCACCAACCTTTTACTTCAACTGAACTAAACAAAATTGTGACACACTCAGACCACATCTTGAAGCTGTCACTTGTGTTGTAAACAGAAGACAGCCTGGTGCGAGCTGACCAGCATCCTGAAAGAAGAGGGTTTAACTTCTGCTGACAAAACCACGGCCATTGAGTTTACCCACGGCCTGGTCGGGTGTGGGTTGGGCCTTGAGTGGAAGTGACAGGCTCTTAACAAATCACGTGATCACGAGTTCAACTAAATCTTTGTCTAGGATTCAGATTACCAGTTCAGTTCAGATGCACCTTTCAGTTTGTTTGTTTTTCTGAACCCTGTCTTGCTCTCACCGTAGATATTAAGCGTTGGTTTGAAAACAATCGCTGGTTTTATTTAATGATGTTCTGATGTGGTTTTTCTTTCTCTTGGTCAAACCTCGACTGATTTTTCTGTGGTTGTGTCCCAAACTTTTTTCCTTTGAGTTCACACTACAGTTTCCCTTATAAAGAACTCAGTGTTTCACGCAGTGTGCATCCAACAGGGACATGCTGCTTCGTCATCATATTGCGCCTTAAACTTTGACCGTCGCTGTCTGCAGTAGACGACCAGCTTTCATCCAAGCACTCTGATTGACTCAAGGTTGTTCATACTAATGCAGGACACAGGGATGTAAGTGATGGAATGGCCAGAAAAGCATGCCGAGACTGCATTCTGCAAAATCCAACCAGATGTAGTTGGACGTCCTGGTGTTTTCGGCCACATTTGACATGCTGCGCACTGCGACATACTAAAGCTGGTACACTATAAAGCATGGTAATATGGATTTTGTTGTGTTTCCCAGAACCTTTTATGGCTTCAACAGTAGTTAATGGAGGTAAGCAGAGGTGCTGGTCGCTTTTTACAGTTAGATTCTGTGTAATTTTCTGCCCCCACCTCAAGGTGAAGACACTGAAAGTAGACTGAAGCTGTTAGTGCTGCGCTTTGACACCTAACAGGACAGTTCTGTGTGAAATAGAAAATTAAGGACGGCAGTAATGATGTTATTTATCAGGTAACTCGTGATCCCAGACTGACTCCTTGATGTTGAGATCAGTTTTAAATTTAAATGTTGCTCATTTAAGCCTTTATTTCACACAATGTATATGAAAAAAATGTTTTTTTTATTTTTGGAGATGCATGAAAAATGAAGCCTCACTTTAATAATAATAATAATAATAATAATAATAATAATAAATCTATATTATATATTAAAACAACTGATTTTTTTCATCTAAAGTATGTCAACAAATGTAAAGATTTTCACTATAGTATACATTCATTTTTGATTATTTAATGATTTTTACATTTATAATGCTGTTTCCATATAAATTGTGTTTTTATATTTAGACGTGTTGCTGTGAGCCTTTTTGTTATCATTATTATTATTACGTGACAGTCAGACTTCACAGGGTGTATAATAATGTGGGTCTTTTGACTTTCATGTAAAAATAAAAGTAGACAAAATATACACAAGCTATACCAGAGGAAATCTGTAAGCAATCATTATTTTACCCCTCCTATCAAATTTACTGACATCTTTTATCCTTGGGTTCAGTTTGACCTCAGCAATTTACACCTCCAGAAAATGATCAGAATTTAAATTGTTACCTAAGTTTATGGGTAAATAGCCCTTTAAATAAAACTGAAAAAATAATGTCAGTTACTTATTTAAAGACGTTCAACATTGAATGGTGTCAAATTGACCCCAAAGATAACAGAAGGGCTAAACCAAATGCTGAATTAAAGGGTCCAGAGAGAGCGAGAGACAGTCGAGGACCTAAAGGAACAAACAAAACAAACATATCAAATCAAACTTTATTTATACAGCACTTCTCTTACAATAGAGCGACGCAAAGTGCTTTACAGCATTTAAAAACATTGTCAAAGAAAAAGAACAAGAAAACTCGTCCCTCCCGCCCTCCATGTCTACAGCTACATACATGCACACATACTGTCACCGCTGACTGTAGGGAGGCATGGCACTGAGGATCGTGGAAAACGCCACCACTGGGGCCGTCCACACCAGGAGGAGTCGCAGACCGTGACCACTGGGGGCGTCGGTACCTGGACCCCGCCCCAACCCAGCAGACAGGGATCCCCACACGGAGGTGGGAAGCCCCCCATCCAGCTGGACTGAAGGGACCCACAGACAGAACCCCCAGCAGCAGACCGGACACAGCCCCCAGTGTAGAGGACCCCCCTAATGAAACACTGGAGTCAAAAACTAAAAACCTATGTAAGATAAAATGGAAATTCAACGAGTAAAATACACAAGAGAATAAATGATAAGAATGTAGAACGATTTGAATTTCAGTCTCCAGCTATAACCATCAATCCAGTCTTTTTCAGAAACACTCTCAAAACTACTTATGAACAGAAAATATGTTGAATTCTCTGAATCAACGCGTGCATTTTAGCAGATTTAAACAAAGCCAGCTACTTGCATTCTGCACATCAGATTGTCAAGCTATAAATTACAATCTCTGTTTGAAGAAAACAGTTTTTACATTTATAAACCACCGAATTTATAACTGAGAGATGTGGAGCTGACGTCAGCCTCTCTACAGTATGTTGGCCTCACAGGAGCCAGGCTGCAGAATCTGCAGAGTGACGATGAGTTTAACAGCTTTTCTAAACCAGGGGTAAAACAGGGCGTAGATCATTGGATTTAAGCAGGAGTTAAAATAAAACACGAAGGCAATAAAAGATGCAGAAGAAGTGCTGTCACCTGCAAGTAGGACGCAGTAAAACGGGCAAAAACACATCAGGTACACAATAACGAGAATGCCCAGAGTCCTGGCTGCTTTCAGCTCAGATTTCTTTGCTGTCAGACTTGCTGACACCTGAAGTGTGACGGCTGTAACATGAGAGCGCATGGCACGAGCCTGCGACACAGCCACCACAAATACACTCATGTACAGAATTATGATGACAGAAACGGGAAGAAGAAATGTGAAAGCAAGGTCAATAACTCCTGCAATAAAAGTGATGACGATCACACATTCTCCATAGCAGGAATTATACTTACCTGGGTGCATGAGGTCATCAAGCACAATGAGACCGCTGTACAGAATAGAATAAAGCCAACACAGACAAACGCACACCTTCACTCTCGTGACAGTAAATTTGGTGGGATAGTGCAGGGGGTCACAGATAGCCACATATCGGTCAGCTGATATGAGAACCATATTTCCTATTGACACAATAACAATGTTGCAGGACAGATAGCCATGCAGAGAACACATTATATCACCGACAAACCAGCAGGCTGTTTTTCTTTTGATTTCTATCGGCGTCAACAGGAAGCCCACGAGCAAGTCTGAGACGGCCAGAGAGAGCAGGAGGATGTTAGTGGGTGTGTGGAGTTGCCTGGAAGGAGACAGAAAAGCATCAGTTACCAACAAGTCCTGTCAGAATATCTTCAGTGAAAAGAAGGAAAAAAAAGTTCCATTGTGATGGTTCAGCTTAGGCAATGGAAACGTTGCAGGAGTGTTTCAAACACATCAAGGAAGTCGTTCACAGGTGTGCAAATTCAATTCAACTACTGCTTCACAAGTACTCAGGTCATGTTCACATTTCCAAAGCTTAAAGTAAAGGTTCAGCTGAGAAGTTGATCTCTGCCTGAAGTGGGAGACTGAGATGATGACGAGCAGGTTGAGAACAACAGTGAGGACAGATATGGACCACAGCAGAATTTTCAGNTAATGCAGAGGGTCACAAATAGCCACATAGCGGTCAATCGATATAAGCACCATGTCTCCTACTGAGGCGGAAGAAATGATGAAGCCTGTGTAATGATACACAGAACATGCAACGTTACCGAGAAACCAGCAGGCTTTTCTTGTGAGGATTTCTCCCGGCATTAACAGGAGACCAACCAGACAGTCTGAGACGGCCAGAGAGAGCAGGATGATGTTAGTTGGTGTTTGCAGCTTCCTGGAGGGAGACAGAAAAGCATCAGTAAACCAACAAGCTGTCACGTCTTAGTGACAAAAACATTAATTACGAACATCTAATACAAAAGTAAAAGCAGTCAGCAAGTTAGAATGTAAGTTTAGTTTTTCTAAGTGCAACATCATTCATGACTATGTCAAAGACAATTCACTTGTAAATCTACAGTTGCTGAAAAAAGCAGGTTAGCAGTTCATCTCTGCCTGAAGTGGGAGACTGAGATGATGACGAGCAGGTTGAGAACAACAGTGACCAGAGAGATGAGGAACATCGCAACATATAGGATCAGATCCTCAGTTTGAGGAAATGCAGGCTTCTTGCAGGAGGTGTTGATGAGCTGTGGAAAGCAGAGGTCTGCTCCGTCCTGGGCGTCCATCTTCAGAGATCTGCAGAGAACTGCAGCTCTGGCAACTTCCTGAGCAACATGTAGTTTTACAACTGATATCTGAACTCCTCCCATCCTCCGTCTCTCATCGTCGGTTGGACAGTCATTCCGGTCATCCCTCATTGTTCACATTACATCTTCAACTACTTGTCCCCCAAACCCCTCCTCACTTCCTGTCTCTGTTTTCCATCTCCTCTGCTCAACCACTTCTGATAAAGTTCCTAATTAAACTCCTCAGAATCAACAGTTGCTTCATATACAATACCTTAAGTATATTTAATAAAGCTATGCTAAATGCTACCTTCACACTGTGGTGATTTATCTAATTTCAGGCCCAGTTCCATTTCCTTTTCTGTTGTTTCTAGCCACATTACATTTTCAGTACTGAAAACACATTTGAGCTCTGTTCAAACCAAACCAAACCAGTTTTATATCCACTCCACCGCTTTGAATGTCACAATCTAAAGCCACAATCTCACAGATATTTTTTAGGATAATACTATGACCAACTTCCTGCCCTGTATCGGCAGATTCATGCATGTGCATGTATGTTTTTCTTCCATTTCACAATGACAGGTTTAACTTTATTACAAGGGATATTTAGAGTC